TCTACTGTGTGTCTGCTTTTCAAGGTGAGATACACATTCCTTCTCTTTTTCTTTGTGATCACTTCTTGGGCGGCTTTTCGCGGATTATCCGCGACAGTCGCATTGACACACTGCATCCGTTTACCTGACTGAGAGTTTGATTGTTTATATGGTCATAAAGAAGCAAGTCAAGCTTTCTTTCTTGTATACTATTTCTAATTACTGTCTCAGTATCACTCAGCGGAGAAAGAAGATAATTTTATGCACAGATATAAGGGATGCTTGGATTAGTTGTCAGTTCGTTCTCCAACTACGCAGCTAACAACATTTCCATTCTTTGACCGATGACCATTTATATAGCAGAACTAATGCTTTGACCGATGGTCATTTGTACAGCAGGTCTAAATGACCAAAACTAATATAGCTTGCCTGTTCCATGGTTGCAACTGCCACGGGTGACGGCTGCGGTTTATCGTCCAGCTTGCTGCTGCTGTTGCTACTGTCCCCATTGCCTCCTGGTTGCGATGAGATTGAAGAAGTTGCCAGTTTGAACGCTCTTTCGAAACCCCACCTGCAAAAAAAAAATCTATGTATTATATGAGTATTTACGACACCGCAAGTATTTCAGTGTGATCCGTTTGGAAACGAGGATGCTGACGCCCAACACACATACACCGCTGAATCTCTAGAAAATAGCTAAAATCTCATCAAAATGCTTTTGTCCGGGGAGAACCAATGAGTCGTCGATTGAGGAGAGACAAAACGAACATTAGGATCGCCAGAAGGCTGACATTGGTCAGAACAAACAGAAGAAAAGAAATATAACATGATTGTCCACCGAAGAATGTTCCAAGTATGAATCAGTAGCTGTTTTATGTATTTTAAGTAATATTATGACGATTATGTGAATACAAAGTAATTTTTTCAACGACTGTAATAATAATCTCACTAACACTGAGAATATCTTTCTTATCCATAATTTATGCTTAGCCAACAAATCCTAGGGGATGTGGGGGAGGGTCCTTTAACGCCTGTAATAATAATCTTACTAACACTGAGAATATCCTTCTTATTCATGATTTATGTTCAGCCAATAAATCCTAAGGGATGTGGAGGACGGGGAGGGGGGGAGAGAAGGAGAAGAGGAAGGGGGAGAGAAATGAGGAGATAGTGCTCAAAAATGGGAGAATCAGAGCCGAGACTTTGCTGAATATCGTCTAAATTTCTTCAGGAATTCCCGCTTAGGGAGAGGGGAGGGGTGAATTTCTGGACGTGGGGAACTGTTACCAGTTAATAATTTCACACAATCTCTGGGGGGTATGAAAGCAGCACATATACCTCCCTCACTATAACGTTCTGGAAACAGACCTAACATGTTGGAAGAGTGTTTTGTATGC